GGAATTCTACAACGCAATATTGTACCCGTTATTTAAAACGATTGTCTAACAAGAAAGCCAGGCTCTATCGTACTGCCAAGAAATCTACTGGGCTGCAACGATGGTCAGCCTACAAATTAGCAGCCGCATCTTACACCAAGGTCCTTCAAACTGCAAAACGTACCTTTTTTCAGTCAACTCTACCGTTACTGTTAAAGACAAATTCTAAGCGTTTCTGGAGCATAATGAAGCCTAAAAACGACAGCACAATAATCCTGGTTGATAATCGCGGTGTACCAGTTTCTAGCCATCTTTGCGCATCACTGTTAAATGATAGCTTCGCCAGGTCTTTTTGTAACCCAATTGTAGATAATTTTCCTGATCTTTAGTGTGTAAACTTTTTCCCAATGGACCCTATAGTTTTCGATCCAACTGGAATTTCTGGCGTCATCAGCAACCTGAAACTGTCTTCTTCATGTGGCCCTGACGGTATTAATTCAAAATTTCTGAAAAATACTAAAGAGTATAGGTCGATTATATTATATTGCCTTTACACTAAATGTTTCGATGACGGTTACTTGCCTGAAGATTGGAAAACAGGCCGGTTGGTACCCCTTCACAAATCAGGCGACGCACATAACCCCTCTAATTACCGACCCATCTCACTTACTTCAGTTCCTTGCGAAATTCTTGAACACATAATTTTTTCCAACCTTGGTAAGTATTTAGAATCAAATAAGTTCTTCCATTACTCGCAGCACGGTTTCCGGAAATTATTTTCGTGTGAAACACGACTAGTCACGTTTACTAACAATCTGCATGTATATCTTGATTCAGGTTTTGTGACTGACTGCATATTTCTAGATTTCGCAAAAGCATTCGATAAAGTAAATCACCAGCTACTATTACATAAACTCAGCCATTTGAAAATTGATCCACAAGTACAACAGTTTATCCGAATCTTTCTTGCTAACCGCACGCAGTTTGCATCCATTAACGAAACTGACTCTCCCGAGGTGGCGGTACATTCAGGAGTACCTCAGGGTTCTGTGCTGGGGCCTTTACTGTTTGTAATATACATTAACGACCTGCCTTCTAACATTTGTTCTCCAGTTTGCCTTTTTGCTGATGACTGTGTGCTTTACAGTAAAATTACTAATGATACTGATATTGCCTGTCTACAATCCGACCTTAACAACATTATTTCCTGGTGTAACCTCTGGCACATGGATCTTAACGTTTCTAAATGTAAAAAAATGAGAAGTTCGCGTAACAAACTACCTAGCCCTGACTACTTTCTTAAAGATACCTTACTAGAGTCAGTTGAATCTTACAAATATCTCGGTGTGCACATAACCAATAACCTATCCTGGGCGCGCCAAATTGAATATGTAACATCTAATGCAAACCGCATGCTAGGCTACTTGAAAAGAAATTTCTCGCTGTCCCCGTCTTCCTTAAAAAAGCAGCTATATATAACCTACGTGCGCCCCAGGCTTGAATATGCTTCCTCAGTTTGGGACCCTGGCTATGTAACACTATCTAATAAAATTGAAGCTGTGCAAAACCACTCCGTGAGGTTCATACTTTCCAACTATCACCGCACTTCCAGTGTTACTAACATGAAATCCAGCCTTGACCTTGCTACTCTTGCTACTCGCCGGAAACTTGCTCGCCTTTGTGTGCTGCATAAAGCGTATCACCATAACCCCATACTTAAATCACGTTGGCTAAACGCTCCTTTTTTCCTATCTGAATGCCTCGACCATCATTACAAGGTTCATATTCCGCGCCAAAACACCATAACATACTCCCATTCTTTTTTACCAAAAACATGCCATGATTGGAACAACCTGCCTGCGTCACTAGTCACGATTACTAACTAGGAACGCTTTCGGGCGGCACTCGAAAATTTTATGCATTGATGTGCTCAACGCATTTTTTTCCCCTGGTTTTGTTTGCTGCTGTTCGGTTACCGTTCATTTGTGTATCGCAGATTTGTTGTGCCATATTGTAATATTTTTTTTCTCGGTACTTTCTTTGTGTGTTAGATCGTCATTACGGTATTTTTTTTTGTCGCGGTGCTTCCTTGTTTGATTTTTTGATTCCTTGTTTGATTTGTTGCGGTGCTTCCTTTTTTTTTAGATATTGTGTAAGCGTTGTCATTTACACGTTGTTTTCGAGTGTTGTACGCATGTACTGAATGTGATTTGTTTTTCACGTTTCCATTGTATTTTTTGTCTTCTAAACCCACTCCCCTCTATAATGCTGTATGCCCTGAGGGTACAATAAATAAATAAAAATAAAAAAAAGTAACTTCCAATTGCCGTGTTGGACACCACTGTCTATTTCAGCAGCATCTTGGATGTGCTAAATCTCAAAGTTTATCCAATGAGTAGCAGTTGGATTGATGCAGACAGAGGTTTCTAAACATTATTGCTATCACGTAAGCCGTATCAGGCAAAATCGGGATAAGGGGACCGTTAAGAGATACTGTGGCTAGTGCATCCGCCATCTCTTTGAAGTATATGCCATGGTGGCCTGGTACCCATAAGAGCTGCAGTGTTTCCAAGTTTGTCGGTATGAGTTGTCGAAAGATGTGCGTAAGTGTTAAGTTGGCTCCTGAAGACAGAGCAGCACATACTGAAAAAGAATCTGTAGTTACGACAGCTTCCGATTCGTCCAAAGGAAGTTTGCGTACTGCCAGTACAATAGCGAATAATTCTGCTAAGCATATTGGTGTGTAATCTGGAAGTCTAACTGAAAACGACCAGTCAAGAAAACGTGAGAAGATACCTGCCCCCGCCTTTTCATTTGATACGGATGCATCAGTCGCAATTATGTTGTTTATGTTCACGTGTGCCAAGTAATTCTGAAGCCGATCATTTAAATAGTGAAATGGCATTCGCTTTACGTTATAGGGATAAATATTCTAAAATTCTATCTGAAGATGTAATTTATAGTTACTTGTTGAGAAAATATGTTTGATTTTGACGTTCAGTGGTTCTATCAGCGCTTGAACGAACATGATCTGTGGGAAGTGGAATCACGACCACCAAGTTTCAAAAAACGAGCTTGGCTTTTCAATAAAAGCATAAAACGATTATCTCTGGGGCAAAGTTTATAGTTTTAAAAATGTTTGAATAGTAAGCATGTTGAATCAAGTCAGCAATGACGGTAGACGCGCTTCCATGTATAGCACATTGTTAGCAACAAGCCTGGGCAGTCTAAGGCACAGTCGTAAAGCTTTCCTTTCTAATAGTATTAGTGGTCTAACTTTATAAGTCGCATTGCCCGAAAATAAGACACAGCCGAATTCCCTGATAGGACGCACGTACATTTTATAGAGCCTATTGTTAAGAGCCTATTGTTAAAAGAATTAAGGGTACCATCATCTTTCTCTTCTGCAGTGCTCACCTGCACGCGTTTATTCCTTCTTTTTCTACAGCACGTATTAATGAGTATTCATAAAAGTATTTCATCAGCACGTTTACCTACAAAAGTGGCCATATTTCTTTTCACAGCAGTTTTTGTACGTTGGAGGGGATGACGCCCACCTTGTCTATTTCGTCTTGCTTTCGCACTCGGAAGTTGCCATTGGTATCGCATTGTGCCACAAGATGTCGGCACGTAAGTCGTGAATGCATGGTATGAAAGAAGGGATTAGTGCATTGCTCCTCCCCCCCACTCTGGCAGAAGCGGCTGAAAGGAACTCGGTCAGTCTAAACAGGCGCGCTGCCTCATTCATTTGAAAATTTGCTGTCCGCTTGGGTTTTCCGTGTACAGTAGAAGCGTGCTCTAAGTGTCTGCATTGCATCATAGCCTACGAACACCGTGTGAATATTACAACTACGTGGGTTTATTGACTACCTGGCGGCGGGTAATCTTGACAGTTTCATGGTGCTAAAAGTTGAAAGTAGTTTTGCGGAACACTAATATTACGGACTTAAATAATAGGTCAGCCGTGATGTAAGATCATGCACAAAGAGAAAAACACAAGGGCAGGGCGAGTGCCAAATATGAACTCAGCCAGCAAACAGGCAATTCCGACAATACAAGGTTGTATCGGGACCATTCACTGACCTCCACTAGGGAGCTGGATGGCGCTTAGAGCGCGCCGGCTTGAAGCCACCGGAAGTTGGCGGCCTTGTCCCGGAAGCCGGTGCTTGCTCCCGCCTGACTGCTGCCGGCGTGCGTGTTTTCTGGACTTCTCTCAAAAGAATGCCTGCCTGCTGTGCTGTTAATTGCACAAGCAGGCCAGAAAAGTCTTCTGGAAAGACGTTTCATGCGTAAGTGCCCTTAAATCATTCTTAATTCCCCGTAACTGACTTGCACGGAGCATGAGCACGGAGCATTTGCGATGCGTTGAACGGCGTGTTAAAGCTGTCCGGTATTTGCCTTGCAGGTTTCCGCGTTCCCAGCCCCATTTGTACCAGCAGTGGGTTGTTAACCTCAAAAGGGACAAATGGAAGCCATCTCCAGGCAGCAGACTTTGCAGCAGCCACTTTACCGAGGCGTGTTTTGACCGCTCGGGTTCAAGGACGCGTCTGAAAAGTGACGCCATCCCAACGCTGTTTTCTTTCCCGGAACACTTGCAGAAGGTGAGACTTCTTCTTCTCTGTGCACCAATCATTACTACGCAAAGTCATGGCCTGCAAGAAGATCTTTCCCGGATGTAGCTTCTCACATGCACGGCAAAAGTGATATATACCACTGCCCAAGGCCACACACCTGGGTGATATTTGAGACGGCACGCCGTGCGCGCTTTTGCGACGCCGCTCCGGAGAATTCCTGATAGCGCCTTTCTCGCGCGGTAGACTAGCAGTGCGTGAGTGGAAGACGATATCTGTGACCGCACTCTCTGTTGTGCAGTCCGAAATCCGAAGGCCTGGAGTGCACATATGTACGACGCTTCATTAAATTACCAACTGCTATTCGGTTGTGGGAACACTGCAATTGGTGACCTCCCCGGTGGAGCATTTGATTGATTGATTGATTGATTGATTGATTGATTGGGAGGTTTAATGTGCCGATGCTTGACGAGTCATGATCTGGGACCCATGCGGCGCAGAAGCTATGCCTGGCTTACGGTTCTGCGTATATGATCCAAGTTTTAGTGCTGTATTGTAGCACCCGCGGTTTCTCCCTGTTCTTGATTTCGACGTTGCAAGCGTGCTCGACAGTAGAGCTCTGATTGTTGTGGGTCAAAGTCAGCTTTCAGGGCGTCTACGATGTTAAGTGTTGCGGAACCAAAAACATGAAGAAACTGGCCTGACCACATGAGAAGCAACACGTTGTCTATCTGCAGCCTAGGTGGATTGTGTCTCCACATTGCGCTGAACGTTGTCTTGCTGACAACCGTGCAGACACCATTTTTGGGTGTCTTAACGCTTCTTGGTGCATGCCTTTCCAATGTGTCCGCCATTCTTGCAGTTTCGTCGTTAAAAGCATTATTGATTCCGGACAGATGTATGCTGCGGTGCGAAAACCAGTCCCTTGCTGACTGCTAGCTAAAAAGCACCGTTCGCATGTTTTGCAAGGTGAAGCTGTATTTCAGGGGCAAAGAATCAACGTTGCACGGTTACCAAAAGGTCCAGCATGTCCTCGCTTTTTTCTTGCATTATTGCGGTGTTTTGTGTACACAAGTACTTTTTCATGCCTGGATGTGTCACCTGTAACTGCAGCTTCCTTCATGCATGCAAATACGTTTATTTTATAAGATTTGCTGTTGTTTGTGCATAAATTGATGGTTGAGTTGTGATGGTCACTATAACGAAAATCATCTCTTTTTTAAGAAAACTCCGAAACGAAAACCACCCAAGGATAGAGCCCCAATTCCTGACTTATCCACGTCAGATGAGGCACCCAGCAGCCCACCAGCACCGCCTCCTGAGCCATCAGGAAGTGTAAACTTACTTTCAGAATATTGGTTGATTGATTGATTGATTGATTGATTGAAGAGTTTAACGCGCGGACACAACGCAGATGATGAGGCACGCGTACTGGAGGGCTCAGGATTAATTTTGACCACCTGGGGATCTTTATTGTGCGCCGAAATGTCGTACTCACGCGCGTACTTGCTTTTCGCCTCCATCAGAAAAGCGGCCGCCGCGGCCGGTAATCAAAACCGCAACCTCGTGCTCAGCAGCGCAACGCCTTAGCCACTGAGCCACCGCGGCGGGTACTACTTTCAGATAAGCGCTAACAATGAGGTACAAATAAATTGTGAAATATAAGAACTCGAGATTTTTTCTGCCGCCTTCTGGCTGCGTGATGATAGTTACCAATAGGAAAGCTTGATGTCCTGCAGCGCAGTTTTTTTAACTGGCTAATGCATGAAAGGGAATACGAAAATTTGAGAACAAATATGGGAAGCCTGATTTTTACTTTTAGTGAACAGGTTTTTGTAGGTTGATTTCTCGTAGATTGACCTTCATTCCGGTTGTTGAGCTTATAAATTTATTATTTGCAGGCATTTGATCACAGCTATGCCGTCCTGGACACTCCAAGAACCCTAAAAAGGAGACTGGCAGTTTTACGTGGCAGTTTTACTTGCATACGCTGTCTCATTAAAAGCGCATTAAACAAACCATGATCTGCGCCTACATAGCCCTTGTTGTTACTTGGCTTACTCTTCTAACCACGAGCAAGTATTTACAAAAAAGAAATTAACGAAACGCGATCCAAAGAACAGCAGCACGCCGGCATAACTCGCGTCGCGCGTACCGCGTAGCGCAGCAGACGACCTCCATCCGGGACAAGCGGCGGCACTTCCGGTGGCTTCGCAAGCTCCCGCTTCGGGTAGTGCCGGTGCGCCATCCAGCTCCCTAGTGGAGGTCAGTGGGACCATTATATATTTGTGTTAAGTAGCACTGCGCATAAATTTTAACACGTGCTTGAACATGGTGTTTTAGATCCACCATGCGGCAATGTTCTTACCGCCAAAGAGGAGTTGAGGGTTAACCCGATGCTGCTAGATCGTGAAGTCTTTTCGTATTCGTCGACGACTCCCCCTCCCACGGCGACGGTGAGGAAAAGAGTGGCCAGTACCATGGTCTGGCTGCAGGCCATGGCGAACGTTCGAGTCAGTCTGCTGCACGTGACGGAGGCGAGCGAGACGCGTAGGTTCTGGTCCGCCAGGAGACACATGCGCTCGTAGTACCGCTGTGTCATGCCAAATACTCGCACGATCGTTAACGAGTCTATTGTTTCTGCCACATGCTGGAGCAGGCGAGAGAAGTGAGCGCTTCGAATGAAACGGGTAGCGTTCACCGCACGAGTCAGCAGGGCCTGCGGAAAAAGTAGGTTTTGAAGAGTAAGCACTTCAGACCACTTCCAGGTGAAGCGCCCACTCCATCAGTTTGTTATGAAATAGCATGGACCAACGGAAACAGTTCAATGTTGAAGTTGTGGGAGTATGGCAAGATATAGTGTATTTACTTGTTGGCACCATCTCTGAATAAGCTTTAGCGCGAGATAGTTGTTCAACACCTTAAAACTACCCGACATTGTGCACTTCATTGTGCATAGGTCATGTTGGTGTGACTGGAGTTATTAATTCAAGCATTCATCACCTGCATGTGAGTTAACCGAGCGCCTTATGGTACCAGGCTATCGTATGCAGTCGTCGTCACTTGGTGTAGCGCAGGTACACATTAAATAATTGAGAAAGAACATGCAAGTGAGAAATATAAAGAGAGAGAGAGAGAAAATAAAAAAGGAATAAGAAGAGAAATGATTAAAAAGAAAAGCGTAAAAATTACTGTTAAAAATAAAAGCAAAGGATCCGGACTTCCTTCTATCTTTGAAAAGCCTGCCTTGTAGAATAATTGCGTACCACAGCTGTTTGGTACGCATTTGGTACGCAAACAGACAGAAGGAAAAGAACAGAAAAGCAAGCTCTGCCACCTAGATTCTATGTGTCCTCGTGTGGGCATTTAAACCATTTAGGAATCATATGCTGTCAGCCAACCAGACAGCTTCACCATAAACATGGAAGGCTGCGCAGTACCGCTTCATTCAAGAAGACGCCTCAACTTTTTTTTTTAGTCGTGCTTTACATTTGAGGTGCTGCAACTATCTTTTGCCAGGCATGAAAAATATACCGGCACATCCTTTGACGATGCCACCAAATGCATTTTGCTTACTTTCACATAGAGTGGGCCACACTATTTGCCATTCTCGACCATATTGCATAACTATTTATGTTTAATTACGCACCATTTTCGGCGGTACACATGGGCGGAAATATTGGTAATGAAAAGTTGTTGATCACTTATTGAAATCTACAATTACACATTTTTGATCGTTCAGTCTATTAGATATTAGTGGCTTTTTTGCCTACCAGAGACGCTCATGAAGCAGAAAAAAAGTAAAAATCCACGCGACTTGCCTGCTTGCGTACCGTAGTGCAGGGCTCTCAAACTTTCCGTGCGAAAAAGACCATTGCCTTTGGCCCAGTGTGCTGCCTCGGCAGCATGGCGACGATGGTGGTAACTGTGCGGTGGCGCACGTTTTTCTAGAGGCAAAACCAGCGGTAACCACCGCCTCTGCTTATCGCCACCACAAACCGTAGTGAGGAAAGCATATCTTTCGTTCTTGAAACGTTAGGAAGCACTGCAATTCTGGCGCACCTATGTCAGCGAGAGCGGGCATGTCAAGTGGTATCATATCAAGAAAGTGCTTTATGCCAGGGCCCACCAGGACTACACTGTAGCATTAGAATCGCTGGTAGGGCGTTTTAAACGTACTCCAATAAACCGCAAATAAATATGTAAACACACAGTTATGTCACCACGTGTCAAACCTACGACCTCTCGCTGCGCAGCACGTGGTGCGAACGACTCGGCCACACACCGAAAGTCTTTTAGGCATGCTAATGGCGAGCTATTTATATGCACCACTTACTGTCGGCGACGATGAGAGCTCGTTAACCTCAGCAAGTTTTGTCATCAATTGCGCACTGGTGCTACAGGCGCTCTTGGCGTAAAGTATGGTGCACACCGGCGACTAGCAGTGGTCGCGCGACCATTTGCGACTGATGTTCACACCGGCAGAAGCTGTATGCGAGCGACCAAAAGTCGGAAAACCGGAGAGTCACGTCCAGATCTTGTTAACAGCGAGAACTCCGCAGACCGGCGCCGATCAGCTGATCGCTGCCAGATGAGTGGGCTGAGCCAACCGAGTGCACTGCACTTATTAACTGTCAAGCATTTGTTGGCAAATTTCGGTAACTTTCAGCGTATCTATCTATCTATCTATCTATCTATCTATCTATCTATCTATCTATCTATCTATCTATCTATCTATCTATCTATCTATCTATTTGTCTATCTACTCACCTAAGACATTGAGGTTTTTTAGCCGTTTCGATAATGATATTGATACCAAACTTGATATGGCTTCACACGACTGTACGAAGCAGATAAGTGACTAGTCATAAAATGAAAATTATGACATGCATGTAATGAATGTCTTGATTTACGTTTCATGGTACTGCAGCTGTTGCGGTGTTTTTTTAATGGCACGCTGCGAAATTCATATGGTAAGACATAAATGCATGGCAAACACAAACGACAGACCCTGACATGAAAGTCCTGACATCCGTGTCATGTAAGTGCATGACTACATGCCACGCTCATAATGCGCTTGAGGCTGTTTCACTAGCGTAACATATACCAAAATTTTTAAGTGATTTTCAATGAAAAGAAGAGAACAGTGAGCCCCGTAACTGTCTCTCACGGGGGAGGACTGCTTAACAGTAGCTCACTAAGTGTGGGAGTAAAGGAGAGATTACAAGCATAGTATTAAAAGGTAAAGAGATTGAGTGGAAGGAGAGAGTGATGCGCAGGGAGAGCGAACGACAGTAAACGACGGAAGAGGAGATTGGAAAGATGGACACGGTCGCAGGAGTGTGAGGACGCGGCACCACTCGGCGAGAGCTCTTGTCGGCGTCAAGAGATGGCGTAGAGTGAGCCCAAACGGCCCGAGATGCGGTGTCATTGGAGATTGCGGGGGCACAACCGGTCGGCACGAATCTAGAGAGCGAGTTCCTACCAAATTTGGTATTACAGTACGTGAATGGTTGACAAAGGTTTGTGGCTTGTGCAAACATTTTAATCATGAGATGCACGTCATGTAACAACATGACTACATGCCAAGCTCTTGATGAGCTTGCGGCCGTTTCGCTTGTTTCAGTTATACCAAATTCATTATTACGGGACGTGAATGGATGACGAAGGTATCATACTGGTGCAGACACGATAAACAGGAGATGTGTGTCTGGTAATAGCATGACTACATGCTACGCTCATGATGCACTCGCAGCCGTTTCACTAGAGTCACAAGTACCAAACACGGTAATACGCTACGCGAACAGACGACATAGGTAAATGACACATCCAAACACTATAATCACGACATCCGTGTCATGCAACTTCATGTCTACGTGCCACACTGGTGATGCGCTCGCGGCCGCTTCGCTTGCTTCACATGTGCCAAATTGGGTATTACTTGACGCCAATGGATGAACAAAGTATTTGACTCATGCAAACATGATAATCATGAGATGCGTGTCATGTAAAATCATGACAACATGCCACAGTCAAAGTTCCAATACATTTCGGCGTGACGCGGTGTGCATGCTCACCGGCGTTTCGCATATCATCGTTTACCACTGTACGTGGGATCTCCGTCCGTCCATTCGGTCTTGCTTCCGTCCATTCATGCGTGCGTCTGTGTGGCCGCCCATGCGTCCATCCGCCCGTCCGTGCGTGCGTTTGTTCTTGCGTCCGCACGTTCATCTGTGCATCAGTCCCTGCTTTCGTCCATGCATACGCGCTTACGTCCGTTCATGTGTCCATCCGTCCGTGCAGCCATCCGTGCATCCGTCCATGCATCTGTCTGTGTGTACGTTTTTCCACATACTCAACACTTCAAGTACCACCATCTCGCATCTTTTCATCATATATTCCTCATATAGAAGCACCACCATGTAGCAGACATTCGAAGGACGGAACGAGAGGAGGCACACGCACACTTTCTTACGGCTTGCGCTTCATGTCTACTTCCCACCTTTAACCACCTCGAGTTCATGGTGTATACTAGTTCACTGTATTCTTGGCACTGCGGCTCAACGCTCGCTAAACCTTTCTAAAACTAAGGATGTTACGCCAAGTCAGTATAACGTAGCAACCTTTTCTTGTCTGCTAGTGCTCAATGTACACGCCAATGGCTGCTAATGGGTAGTGAGAGACAGGAAAATGCAGCTTTTATTTAATGCGCACGCTGTGCATTTTTATTGTTAAACAACGCACAGTAGAAATCTCCCACAGGCAACACCTTGCAGGTCAAAACGTAAAACTGGTTACACACTACGACTATGACTACGACTACTGCAAGGGATGAACGGGTGCCGCTTTAAGGAGCTTCGCTCCTAAAAAAGTTTGCAGCATATCCACGGAGTGAATGATGGAGAGTGGGGCGAAGCATTCGTCCGTCCATGCGCCCGTCTGTGTGACTGTCCATGCGTCTGTTCGTGCGCCCGTGCCTGCGTTCGTTCATGCATCCGCCCCTGCGTCCGTTCATGCATCCATCCATGCATCTGTCTGTGTGTCCGTTCGTCCATCTATTCAACACTCCAAGTCCCACCATCTTGCATCTTTTTGTCATATACTGCGAATATAGAAGCACCGTCATTCAGTGGACATTCCAAGGACTAAACGAGAGGTGGCACACGCACACTTTCTTACGGCTTGCGCTTCAGGTCTACTTCCCACCTTCTACCACCTCGAGTTTATGGTATATACTAGCTCACTGTATTCATGGCACTGCGGCCCAATGCTCGCTAAACCTTTCTAAATTCAAGGAGGTTACGCCCAGCGAGTATAATGTAGCAACCATTTCCTGTCAGATAGTGCTCAATGTACATGCCAGTTGCTGCTAATGTGAAATGAGAGACAGGAGGATTCAGCTTTTAATTTCCAACGGCTTGCGCTTCGTATCTGCTTCCCCCCTTTAACCACTTCCAATTCATTCATGGTATATACTAGTTTATTGTATTCATGGCCCTGCGGCTCAACGCTCGATAAACCTTTCTAAAACTAAGGAGGTTTCATCCAGCGAGTATAATGTAGCAACCCTTTCTTGTCCGATAGTGCTCAATGTACATGCCAATGGCTGCTAAAGGGGATCGCAGCGTGCGCGTTGACTAAAAGCCGAATGCTCCTGTCTCTCCTTCCCCATTAGCAGCCAGTGGCATGTACATTGACCACTATTTTTTATTGTTAAAC